GGGTCCACCTCCATGTGTGTGCACCTGTACAGGCCCTGTGCAAAAGGGTCTGTGCAAGAAGCACAGTCTTTCTATCAACAAATGAATTTTTTTGTATATTATAATCAAAATGCTTGCTTTCCAAATGCTGCATTTATAAACCCTCTTAATAGTGCTTTACTAAACAGCGTACATGAGGCTTTTACAAAAAGGAATGAATTAAGTTACAAACTCAGCAAAAATGGGTACGGTAATTTAGCTGATAACTGGAAGTAAATAAATTTGATGAGGTTTTATGTCGCTGATTAGAGATTATCAAATAAGTGATAAAGCGTGTTCGAGAAAATCATTAAAGGGTTTTCATAGAAAGGAAAGGCAATACATACTTCTGAACAGATGATTCTCCAGGCTTCCCTTTGGCATGAACTCATAAACCAAAAGCCGGTTGTCCCCCTCAGAGCAATAACCAATAAGTTTTACCAGGTTACTATGATGAAGTTGCCCCAAATAATTGACTTCTGTCTGCAAATCATTGGCTGGTTGTCAAAACAGGCTATACAAAATTATGATAAATTAATTTAAGCCATACAACAACAGAGAAAATACATACCAACCACTCCTTGTGGCCTTGGAAACCCTCAGGCTTCAACTTCTTCACGGCAATGACCAGTCCAGATCCCGGTCTTGCAGCAGCAAGAGTGTTCTCATCAATCCATCCTTTGAAAACATAACCAAATCCTCCTTCCCCAAGAAGACTATCAGGTCGAAAGTTTCTGGTTGCATTCCTTAACTCGTTAAATGAGAAGGGCTTAACATTGGGGGATGAGAGAATCTCAGCTTCAGATCTTGGAGTAGGGAGGCTGTGAACACTGCTTTTGCTACTGTGAGAGGGAACGCTTATGCTGGACGGAGCTAATGAACCACTGGGAAATTTTGAAGCTTCTGAAACTCACAGAAGAGATAATGAGGTTGCAGCATTATTTCATCATCGCCATCTTAAATTGAAAAACTTGAAGCAATTGATTGAATCTTGATAATAATATAGAAATAAATTTACTCCTTAGAAAGAACATCATTGGAGGTAATTTAGTCCATTCCTTGTGCAGACCAAACCGCGCAGACAAATTAGCATATTTTCAAGAAATTTTAACAGTAATAGACACCAGCATAACTTCAACTACTTCAAATATACAGAAAAAACTCATAATTTTTACATCCAAAAATCGTGCTAAGAATTAAGAAACAAGCACCACCGAAATTTCCTATGCAAGGATTTTATCTTTGGGGGCAAAGTGCAAACCCTCAATCAATTTAAGCCAATCAGATTTAATCTTTACAGGCAAAAATAGATTTTTAGCAATTATAATCAAGAGATTTAAAGACACAATCTTTAACTCAAAACTGAACCAAATAAATAAATAATAAAATTAGTGAGCCAGGGAGATGAAAATACCAGATGGGCTGTGAGTGGCATCAATTCTTGTAGAGGAACCCAAACAATTGCCCATGATGTGATGCTCTAACAGAGCTAGAAGAAAAAGGGGTTCTTAAAACACACTTCAATAAAAATCCCACAAACTTAAAATATTAAAAAAGCTAAAAATTGATATGAAGAGAGGATTTTATTAAATGAAGTTTTTCTCTAAAGGAAGAAAAACCAGAATTGAAACAGAGCGAGGATAAGACCCATTCACATGCACAGGAAGGAGAAGAGAAAATGTGTTGAAATGAGATGGTACCTTCCTTCCGTTTCACACCGCTTTTAATTTAGCTAGTTTTTGTTGTGTCCCACCGTAAGAAAACGACACAACTTGTGAGTTCCACCTTGTAATAACTCCACTTCTCAAAAATCAAATTGACTAAGTTAATGTTTGATAGGGATTATTAGAATTTTAACAAAGTTATAGGTAATAATTAATTTTATTCATACATCAAAAATTTGATTTTAATCTACATTAAACAAGGGCCAACTAGCCAAGTGGTTGTGTACAAGTAAATTTTTGAGGAGTAATCTTTCGAAAAAAATATATTAAAAAATATTTTTAATATTTAAAAATATTGAAAAATATTTTTTGTTATGCCCTTTAATAATCTCCATGAAATTGACTAAGTGGATGTGTACGATTAAATTTTTGAGGAGTAATCTTTCGAAAAAAAAAAATATTTTTTTGGAAAAATTAAAAAGTAAAAATAAAATAAAAATTATAGGAAATGTAAAATTATTTTTAGAAAAATATATATTATCAAAAATGAGTTAAAGTGATTCTCAAAAAGTCACTTGAAACTAAGGACAATAATAAAATTTGAGTGATAATAAATTGTGAATTTTATGGAATGTGCAGATTAATAGTTCTGAATTCTACAAAATATGTCAATAAAAAAGTGTGTTTGATCAATTTAAATTATAATTTAATCACTTCCAAATTAGCACATCAAATTTTTGCTCATCTCGACCCATGAAGTTGAAGCGGCATGATTTCATATCTTTTTGTATTTATTGGAGTGAATGTTCTAACTTCTTGTACTCACGTCCTACTTTTGGTTTATATCTTTTGTTTCCTTTTATTTAGATTTTATCACAAATATGAAATGTAAAATCTTCGGGAGTTTGAACAACAATCGACGCCTTGACCATGACAATATCGAGCCATATCAATCTATTCAAAATTCATTAAATTACTATTTTACAAGAAAATTACAAATATATAACTTTTATATTAACCGGTAAAAATAGCTATTGGGGTAAAGAAAGGAGAATTAAACTTTGTGAGAATTGAACTAATAGAACTATTTGATACTTTATTTGATGTAAAGACATTCACAAATTTATACAAAGTCTGGTGTGGAATGAAAGATACAAAAAATATCAGGATAGTTATGTTTCTTCTACATATTTATACAATTAGTGAGGTACAAAGCTTTTACGCTAAATATTGTTCATATTGGCATGAACTACTCAAAGTAAATATTGTTCAAGAATGCAAACTGATTTTACTCGATTGATATATGCTGACCATAATGAACAGCTAGTAATTACGGAAAAAATACCAAGAAAAGTGTCTTTATTCGGTTTAAATAGTTAATGTGCGTTATCCCTTTTGCATTCCTGAAGGAACAAGATCATGTTTGATTGCAAAGATGAAATTTGAGTAAAAATAAAACGAATTTCAGGGAATTGAATTGTCTGGAAATTGTTTTCCTGGGAATCGTCAATTTATTGGGTTTGACTGATATAATTTTCCACGCGAAAAATGTTAAATAAAAGTATTTTTTGTATTCGTTTGGCTTTATTTTACATGAAAATTATCAATTAAATGGATAAAATTTACTAGTATTGGGAATAGAATTTGTTTCCATTACCAAAAATAAAAAAAAATAAGAATAAAATAATAAAGCCAAGAAAAACAAAATTCACCTATATTTTCGTTTCCGTTTGACTTTATTTTACATAAGAATTGTTACTTAATAGAATAGAATTTATTACAATAATTCTTAAATCCTTTTTAAATTGCAAAATAAAAATAAATAAAAAGGTGGAATTTCAATTCCCACCATTTTGGTGGGAATTTCGATTCCACGATATGGCAAGCCAAGATGGAAAATCAATTCAATTCTAAATTTTGCTAAAAAAAATAAAATAATAATAAAATAAAATTGGAAAGATGAAATTTCAATTCCATTTTTCTTGGAATTCCATATTTGGTGGGAATTGAAATTCCACGATGTGGCAAGCCAAGATGAAAATCAATTCCATTTTAAATTTTGCTAATCAACCAAAAAAACAAAAAAAATTTGGAAAGAATTCCATTTTTCTTGGAATTCCATACCTATCAAAAGGTGCCGTAGTGTAAATGGTCCCTCACCATTGGTGTTGCTGCGTAAATGGTCCCTAAAAAGGCCAAAGTTTTTATATAAAGACTAGAATACCCTTACTTTAGTTATATAAATAAATAAAAAATAGGTCAGAAAAAAATTAACAAATATAAAGGCGAAAAGAAAATTAAACTCATCCTACCGACAAATCCTCAATATCACTTAAAAATATAGTATCATATTAGCAAAATAAAATGTGTTTAGAAAAATTTATCTCCAATGCAAGTTGACAAGGACTTATTTAAAATGATGTTGCGAAAAAAAAAAGATTTTTCTAGAGCTCTGTCTAAATTTATAAATTTCTTTAAACCCTCAGAAAAAAATTATGTTTCGTATATAGATTTAAATTTGATTCTATTATTATTTTAATAAAAATAAAATACTCCTAAATAGCAATACATAGATGGCTTTGGAAACCAATTTTGATTTTGCATGTTTTCCTTTTTGTCGGAGTCTTTATCAATTTGCATTAAGATAAAAAATTTAAATAACTTCAATTTTGCTTATATGACACAATTTTTAAAGCAATTCGGTTGCATCAGACATGCTCTTATGAGAACGGTGAGTTGTATTTTCTTTTCTTATTTCGTATTTTAAAAAAAAAATTTCGCCTTATTTTATTTATTTTAACTAAAGCAAGGATATTTTAGTCTTTTTACCAAACATTTGACCTTTTTAACCGTCAATTGAATGGAAAACCATCCAAAATGATTTATTTACGTCAAGACTGAAGGTTAGGGAAATTTTGCAAGTCCCCATAGGTTAGGGGCCATTTGTGCCAATTCCCCGAAAAGAAAAAGTCATCAACTTTTCATTATGGAATACGTTCAAACTTTTTAAAGTTCAAATGAAGAACGTGTGGATGGAAAGAAAAATTTCGTTCAAGAGAATGTCAAAAATATGGTGAAAACAAGGAGGAAAATACTAAGTAAACAATGATGCAATATTTATGCATGTGCTGATGTGCAACTAAAGTACTAAACTACCATATGAACTCTGTATTGAACCATTTATGGTTGATGATCACTAAGTCAACAAATAGCAATAATGTGCAAGCCATCCATCCATTCTGAGTTGGATTATCAATTCAATTATTCAATTCCACTGTTAAAATAACATGATTAAAGTAGGCATTTAGCCAAACTAACTAGCTAGTAATTTGCTTCTTACAAAAACTGTCTATGATTTTTCATTTGTTAGAATATCTTCCAGAATTCAGCTTAAATCTCTCGAAACATTAAAGTATTGGATTTGAATTCTGATAGACATGACAGAAAGTCATGAGGAGTGAGAGGACAAATGTTCTCTCAAAAAAGAATAACAGTGCCCAAATGCTAAATCGTTACACAATAAAATAAAAATAAAATGTATGGCCAAATAAACTGGTGTTCTAAGACCAGTGGGCTATGTAGTATGGTATAATACTCTTTTGACTATTTATTTTGCTTTTTTCATGAAATTTTTACTGTTTTCTCTTTATATTTTATTGAACATTTTTTTTTTTATATTTCAATGTTCAATAAATTCAAATTTGTGTCCGTCTCATATTATTCGCAGCTTAAAAGTTATTCTATAATTTAATTTTAACTACACATTCAAAAATACTAATTACTTTTCACACGATTATGATCATGCGACCATTCTTCCAACAAAGTTCCTAAAAAGTTACTAATAATCAATCCCAACAATGACAAATGTGATTTGAATAATTTTTTGAAAATAATATTGTAATGTATGGCTTGATAAATGCAATCTTTATAAATTACCAATACATTTTTGAGTAGTCAAATGTACTCTTTATTTTAAAAAGTTGCGAAGAGAATTTATTGAGAGATTATTTTAAAATGAGTTTTTCTTCTCAAATTCATTTTCAATCAAACATTTTTGCAATAAAATATTTTACTTATAAACAATAAAATGAAAACTTTTTCTTACTATGTAATCACGCAATTTCCAAAAAATCACTATTCCAAAACTCAATTTTTTCACAAAAAAAAATAAAAAAAATAAATGGTTGTCAAATATGGGCTAAGATGTAATTAAAAATGAGCATATTAATATTTTTTTTTTAACAAATAATGTTATTTAGTCTCACTGCAATTATAACCTTAGTTTATGTGATATTAGATGATTGGTTGAATAAAATGTGAAATTAAATGTCTCGTTTAATTGTACTTATCATTTAATGTCACATTCGCACCACATAAACTGAGTTTATAATTCCGATAAAACTAAATAAAAATACTGTTTTTAAATAGTAACCAATAGATCATACTCTTATCATGTTATCACTTGATACATTATAAATACACATGTAAAATTATTCATTTTTAAATTAGGGTCCGATTGATTGTAAAGGTAGAAAAGACAAATCAACTACATGTAAGTTGAAAAAGAAAAAAATCCACCAAAATCATAGAAATTCGATTTCCACTCAATTGGCCAAAACACATGCTTTAAGTCTTTGTACTTTGTAATTCAAACTATATTTCCACTT